GGGGGGGAAAAGAATAGCTTTCAGGCTATTTTTTGTCAGTAGCAATTTTTAGGACCAAGACTGGCAACAATGGATGTGATGCTTGCTTTAGCGCCTCCAGTCCCCCCTCTCTTCACCTTAGTAACCATTGTTTCAGCAACGAGAAACAAATCTGCTTCGCACCACACAGTTTTTATCTTGAGTCGGTGTTTTGCTTTTATAGGATTTCTACAGCAGAGATTTATTTCCGATTCAAACAGAGCCTTTAAAAAAAACCAAACCCTTTCCCTCCCCCCCAAACCTCGTGCTGTTTAGGTGAAATAGTTTAATATTTTGAAATTTTCACTGGCGCCACAATGAGGCACTGCGCGAACACTTGAACTCAGTGGGACAACTCATGTCCTTAAAGCCAGGCCCACGATACTGTCCCTTGCCCTGCGCTTTTAACAGGTGTCTGATCACTAGCTCCATAAACCATAACACCAAGGCAGAACAGAGCCGACCCAAATTCACCACTGTGTTAATCCATTTTTATGATGGTATAACTCCCCTAAAATCAATGGAGTGATATTGGTGTTCAAGTGGAGGGAGGGAGCATCTAGTCCAGTAAATCAGAATTTGATACAAAGCACACTAGTAAATCCATCATTCAAGGCCTGTTTACATGTAAGGCATGCATTTATGAATGGGGAGGAGATGGTGGGAAAGGTTGAAGGGGCAGAAGTATTTGCCAAGTAGGATCTGCGGGGGTCCCGGGAGTTTGCATGTTGTGCGAGGAACTTAGGATGCAGCAGGTATAAGGTTGGTGAGTGTGTGTGTTTGGTGCTGGGTCAGGGGTGTATAACTGCACCAGAGTAGCACAGAAGAGGGTGTATTTGCCACCTGTGACAGGTGACTATTTGAGGACACACAAGATGTGCTTATGTGTGGGGTTCTGTGTGTTTGTGAGACAGTTCTGCTGCAGGGATGCGTGAGTGGCTGTCTCAGGGCTTGGCAGGTGTGCATTAGAGTCAGGGACAGTGCGAGAATTTGTAGGGGTTGCGGGGACTACATGGCTGTGTGGGTAGGTGAGCACGGGGGTGAGGATGTGTCTCTGTGTGCATGGTGATGAGTGTATGTGTGTGGGAGGTGTGAGAATCTGCAATCTGCATATGGGGGATGAGTGTGCATGTTTGTGTGTGCATGACAGGTGTGAGCATTTTACATGTGGTGTGGTGGGGGATGAGTGTGCATGTGTGCATGTTTGTGTGTGCATGACCGGTGTGAGCACTTTACATGTGATGTGGTGGGGGATGAGTGTGCATGGGTGCATGTTTGTGTGTGCATGACAGGCGTGAGCACTTTACATGTGATGTGGTGGGGGATGAGTGTGCATGGGTGCATGTTTGTGTGTGCATGACAGGCGTGAGCACTTTACATGTGATGTGGTGGGGGATGAGTGTGCATGGGTGCATGTTTGTGTGTGCATGACAGGCGTGAGCACTTTACATGTGATGTGGTGGGGGATGAGTGTGCATGGGTGCATGTTTGTGTGTGCATGACAGGCGTGAGCACTTTACATGTGATGTGGTGGGGGATGAGTGTGCATGGGTGCATGTTTGTGTGTGCATGACAGGCGTGAGCACTTTACATGTGATGTGGTGGGGGATGAGTGTGCATGGGTGCATGTTTGTGTGTGCATGACAGGCGTGAGCACTTTACATGTGATGTGGTGGGGGATGAGTGTGCATGGGTGCATGTTTGTGTGTGCATGACAGGCGTGAGCACTTTACATGTGATGTGGTGGGGGATGAGTGTGCGTGTGTGCATGTTTGTGTGTGTGTGACAGGTGTGAGCACTTTACATGTGATGTGGTGGGGGATGAGTGTGCGTGTTTGTGTGTGCATGAGAGGTGTGAGCACTTTACATGTGATGTGGTGGGGGATGAGTGTGCATGTTTGTGTGTGCATGACAGGTGTGAGCACTTTACATGTGATGTGGTGGGGGATGAGTGTGCATGTTTGTGTGTGCATGAGAGGTGTGAGCACTTTACATGTGATGTGGTGGGGGATGAGTGTGCATGTTTGTGTGTGCATGACCGGTGTGAGCACTTTACATGTGATGTGGTGGGGGATGAGTGTGCATGTTTGTATGTGCATGAGAGGTGTGAGCACTTTACATGTGATGTGGTGGGGGATGAGTGTGCATGTTTGTGTGTGCATGACAGGTGTGAGCACTTTACATGTGATGTGGTGGGGTGAAGGGGTCTGAGCAGGACAGGAAGGGAGGCTGGCAGAAGCAAAGCTGACTTCCTTGCCTTCCATATCCCGGCCCCAAGCTACAATGTACAATACATCTGTGCTTTCTTCATGCAAAATACTGGTTCCCAAGTCAGCGCTGGCAGTGATTGCTGGAGTTCTGAGACTTTGCTGATGCTGTGCTGCTTTTCTAGCAATTGTGCAAGGAAAAGTAGAATTAGAGTCAAAACCTTTAATGCACTAGCAGCCTGCTTTCTGAATGCTGCTACATGGGCAGTGACCCGTCTTTTAGCACTACTTGATTTGCTAAAAAAACTCAGGGGACTGACGTTTATCGTCCACAGCAAGTGGCAGATGATGGGACAAGGACTCTAATACACCACAAAGTGACAAAGCTAATCATTGGGATAGATTAATGACATGCACCAGATTTCCAATAGTTGCCTCTTTCTCCTAGTAGCTGCACAGAGATTCATTCAGTCTAATTACTGCATCCAGACTCTGTTATCCAAACGCATGAGGTTTATTAGGATTTAGTATCAAGGAGCCAGGAGCTGCCCAGCTCAGGCATTTTCACCCAGACTGAGTGGAGACATCCATTTGGGAAAGGGCCACGGCCTAGGGAGCCCAGCACTGAGTTCACCTGAGTGCAGTTTCACTTGGGCACAGTCATCTCAAGGTGAGCATCAGCATGAGACATGACGATGACTTGGGGGATGAAGGGAATGAAGACAGGCCTTCAAAATGCACACTGCGTACTTCCCACTTGCTGTTGGCAATCACAGACCTACCCATAGCTACCATTTTACACATTTAATATAAACCTTTCCCTATCTTTGTGACTGTTCATCTGGTCTCAGAGGGAACAGCACTGCTGAAGACGGCAGCGTTTTTCCTGCCCCTAGCTCTTCTTAACTTAAGATTTTTATTTTAAATGGCAAACACTGGAAAGCAAGAGCAGCCTGACTAGATGGGGGGAAAGGTTTATTTCTGGTAGGTTCTTGGGGACTGTGACTTGCTTGGCTATGTTACCCAGACTTCCCAGAGAACTGCTCTGCTGCAATTAGACACGAGTATGAACTGCTGGTGACAGTACGTTTGTGCCTGTGTTTGCATGCATGCATACGCTATCAGCCTTGCAACATGTATTCCACAGAGCCTAGGAGTTTGTTGAGACTTGGGAAGTCTGACTTGTGTCTGTCTTTACTTAAAATGCAATTGCCAGGGCTCTAGATGTCCAGAGAGGAACTGAAAGGCAGTCATCCATTGAAGAGCATACCAAATTTCTCAGGATCCAGCCCTAATATTTTATATGCAAAACCCCCCCAAAAACCTAATTATTTTTCAACCCTAGTTTATTCTGAACGGAAGACCGCAGGTATCTAAAGAGTCCTTCAAAACACAAATCATCACAGATTTAAAATGGGCTCCCAATCTTTTTTTCCAGTTATGTGAAGCCAAAGATTGCAACTATATTTTCTTTTGAGAGAAGCCTACCACTGCAAAATTACTGCGAAGAAGGGATTGACTGATTTCTCATTTAAGGCAAAAAAAAAAAGCCAAGTGCAGTTTCAAGTACTATTAATCTTGCCTTCTTATTTTAAAACCAGGCAGTACACTGTCTTTTCCAGAGCCACATCTTCGAAAAAGGACTGTTCTTCCCAGCTTGCAGGAAGACAGGGATGTGTCTCATAAACACTGCAATTTTCTCAACCCAAGAGTTCTGGAAAATGACAACATCCAGAGGAACGAGCCAGTTTTGATGATGATACACACATAGAAACAGCGGGCCACCATCATTAATTCCCACTGGCTTCTGCCAGGTAGGCCTGAGTCTTATTATGATGGCAATT